TACATTAAGTACATTACATACATTACATACATTACATACATTAATACATTACATACATTACATACATTACATACATTACATACATTACATACATTACATACATTACATACATTACATACATTACATACATTACATATATATATATCATTATATCATTATATCATGTGTATATATCTCATTGTATCATATATATATATATCATTATATCATATATATCATGATATCATATGTATATATATATATATCAGTATATCATTTATGGTTTGCACAGTATTTTTTATATACAGTATGTATATTTGCGTATATGAATAGTATTCCATTTATATTTATCTTTATACACTGATATGTAAGTTGAATAGTATGGAGCTGGTATTCTATCGGCAAAAAGGTTCATAGTATAAGGTGGATTAAATTTGTGTCTACTGTATGTATATTTGGTATGTATACGTGTGTGTATGTACATATGTATATATATATATACATATACATTATATGTAATATGGTGGGGATTAATGGGTAAATGATGGTAAATGAGACTGGGGGAAAGTATGGTTTAAAACGCGTGTGGGTTTCAGGGCCTGGAAATCAATGATTTTAGATACGTTGACCGAAATAAATCGACCCAGGTTGATGAAAATAAGGGGACCAGCCCCAAACATCTGGGAATTTGCGCTGCTATTCAAATGGTACCTTCCAATCAAAGAGGGGGTTCATTATGTTGATCCGGGCCCAGTGATTGAGGGATCATCCAATTTCTACCCCTTGAAACACATTAGCCTCTGGCAAATTTTTCACATGGCTGTGGCAAATTGCCCAGTTATAGAACTGATTTCCTCGTCAAAAATCATGATGTTCTAATAGTTTCCATAGTTCTGTGAAATATTCGCGGAGGGGCATTGAATTCACACCATGTGAAACCAATTGAAGCCAGTTGAATTCCACATACTACTGATTTGCAGCTGCTGTTTCCGGCATCACGATTAAACCGTTGAAACATATTGAAGCCATGGATCACCAACTACTTTGGGATGAACCAGATCATCATTGTTAAGAAAAACCCAGTATATCTCAGTATATCCCCAACAAGAATCATGATGTTAGATGCTTCAAAGCCATTTTTCTAGGAAGTCAGTGTTATCTCTCAGTTTTGGACCGCTGGTGAAGCTTCCAGCCCCCCCCTGGGGGCCAAGGGCCTCGCTCCCCAGACAAGAGCCGCGCCGGAGGCTTCTCAGGTTGCTGCAGCTGCAGGCTGCCGCCGCGGATCAGCGCCGAAGTGAGGTCCTGGAGGCGGATGGGGTCCCAGGCATTAGGTTAGGATCTCGAATGAACACCGGGCCAGAGACTCTTACCGTAACAACCCCTTCAGTGCGGCCACACTGTTTAGAGAATTTGCTGCAACCCAAAAAAGATAGAAACGTGAGAAACTGTCCAGTAATTGATCGCTGTTTTGGTGGAAATTTACTTTTCTATCTTTTTGGAGGGTTTCTATGAGGTCTGTAATAAATACGTTTAAACCATGATAAACCATCAAATTTGTGTTTCTTGAAACCCCACGGATCATAACTGCTTGTGAGCATGAGTCCCCTATGCGCCTATATTGGTCATCCCATGTATACGTGGTGAAGTAACTACGCTTATTCACCACTGACCAAGTGTGATGATTCTCCAAGCATGACTCAGTGGAAATGGCAGAAGCCTCATATGCTTCTTGCCTCACCATCTCTATGTTCATGGTGACTGAATAATGAGTTCCATGTTTAGATAATGTATCTATATATATATATATGTATGGGTAAATGATGATAATTCACTGACCTGCTAAGGTTATTTTTGGAATAGTTTTTCTCTCTACTAGGCATTATTCCAGTAAGGTCGCGATGAGGTCGTTATCATTTAGACATATGAATATGTATATATATATATATATATATGTAACAATAATAATCATCATGATTTATTAGTAGTATCATTATTATGTATAAATTATTTTTTACCCTCCAGCAAATTAACATATGGAACACCCAGCCATCGTTTCCCTTGGAAATGATCTCTTGATCTATGTTGATAACGACCTGATGCATTGGAAGGTAGATCGTTAGATGATTAGAATCCCAATTTTGGGCTCAAGATCTGAGCTGGTTGGTGGTGCAATAACCATCTTGAAAAATATGAGTTCGTCAATGGGAAAGATGACATCCCATATATTATAGAAAATAAAACATGTTTGAAACCACCAACCAGTGAGTGTCACTCACCACCATCCAGGATTTTTTATGAATTCTGGGGTCTTCTTACTTTGGATAAACATGGATAAACATGGAGTTCATCCATAAATGACCCATGACAGCCATGACAGCCATGACAGCCATGGAGCTTCCCCTGGCCTGCGACCTCGACTTCTGCAACGTCGCAGCATCGTAGACATCCGGAAGCATGTCGGACGACAGTACGCAAAGGACGCGCCACCCAAACTGTGTGGGACATTTTATCTCTGAGACATCATCAAAACCGGAAAATTGTATTTGTCCGCAAATGGGATAGCCTCAAAATCCACTCGTATTCCAATGCTACAAATGTGTTATATATATATAATTTTCCCCTTGAATGGCCTGATCAACTCCTTTGTCTGAGGAAAATGCCAAAGCGACAAATTGGCAGTTGCCGTCCCCTATGGTATCACAGCGCACCAAACCCAACTCGCGCAGCCGCTCGTTGACTGCCTCTTGGTTCCTTTCAAGCAGTGTCTTGGCCTGTGGTTTCTCTTGCAAAGAAATGTCGGCTGCCAGCACCTTGGTCGGGTGTAAGGAGCAGGTACGACACCGTTGGGAGTTCTTCGCTGAAGCTATTCCAACCGCAAAGAAATAAAATGAAATAAAGAACTTTAAAGAACCCTTTCCGAAGCCAGCCCTACACTAAAATATTCTAATATAACACTAGCTGAACCGCCGCCCTATATAAACTTTAGATAAACCTTTAAAGCAAGCCCAAGTTTGACGATAGAACCGTGAAGCGTCAAAATTACAAGAAGATTGAAAACTGGCTGGCAACCTTCGCCTCCGAGCAGCTTTTGGAGCGCCTGGTGCCACAGCTGAATTGGAATGGGATGGAGGTCCTCCGTGAGGCGCAAGAGGTCCTTCATCAGCTGTCGAGGCTGCGCAGGTCCCTTCATTCGCCAGCGGCACAGTGGCCTCGTAATGCCCCCATGCGACAAAGGCTAGAACCAAATCCGCATCCAAAGAATCATCGGGTGCAGACTCCGGAGGCAAAAACAGTCGGTCATGCTCAGGGTCGGGGCAAATTACTTGGATAGGTCGCTGGAACAGGTGCGCAGCACACTCAAGAGTGCATTCGTCACCCCACGACCCGTCATGCGCCATATACTCAAGGTACGCATTGAAATCGCCAAATTTTGTGTCGAATTTGTCAGCAAACATGTTATGTTTCTCTCTCAACTGTTCCACGATCTGTGTTCGAAGAGAGTGGTGATCAACTCCTTTGTCTGAGGAAAATGCCAAAGCGACAAATTGGCAGTTGCCGTCCCCTATGGTATCACAGCGCACCAAACCCAACTCGCGCAGCCGCTCGTTGACTGCCTCTTGGTTCCTTTCAAGCAGTGTCTTGGCCTGTGGTTTCTCTTGCAAAGAAATGTCGGCTGCCAGCACCTCGGTCTTCGGGTGTAGAATAGTTTTTTATTTTTTTTGCCTCAGGTTTTGTGTATGGATTTTTGTTTTCTTTCCCGGTACCATTTGCCTTGTATTTGCAACAGTTTGGAACTAGAACCTGTCATTTTGCATGATATTTGCTACATTTTGGCATGGTCACTTTGCATTTTGCATGGTATTTGCTACATTTGGCAATGTTTGCCATCCATTTTGCATAGTATTTATCATATTTTGGCATTTCAACCTCTCATTTGCATGGTATTTGCTACATTTTGGTGCTTCAAACGTTCATGTGGGTCTCTTGAGGGTTCTTTTGGCTTTCATTTGGGGTTTCATTTAATGTTTCATTTATATAGGGTTTCATTTAGGGTTTTATTTGGGGCTTCATGCGGTGTTTCATTTAGGGTTTCATTTATGGTTTCTTTAGGGTTTCATTTCGGATTTATTTAGGGTTTCGTTTAGGGTTTCATTTAGTGTTTATTTAGGGTTTCAGTTTGGGTTTCATGTAGGGTCTCATTTACGGTTTCTTTAGGGTTTCATTTAGAGTTTCTTTAGGGCTTCTCTAGGGTTTCTTGAGGGTTTCATTTAAATCTTCTTTAGGGTTGCATTCCAGGGTTTCTTATCAGGATTTCTCTTTGCGACTTCTAAACGTTCAAGTGGTTCCTAAAGGGTTCCTTTAGGGTTTCATTTAAGGTGTCATTTAGGGTTTCTGTAGGGTTTCGTTTAGGGCTTCATTTAGGGTTTCTTTAGGGTTTCAGTTTGGGTTTCATTTAGGGTCTCACTTAAGGTTTCTTTAGGTTTTCAATTTAGGGTTTCATTTAAGGTTTCTTTAGGTTTTCAATTTGGGGTTTCATTCAGCAGTTCATTTAAGTTTTCTTTAGGGCGTCATTCCATGGTTTCTTATCAAGATTTCTTTTCACGATGTTTAAACGTTCAAGTGGGTTCCTTTAGGATTCCTTTAGGGTTTCATTTAGGGTGTTATTTAGGGTTCCTTTAGGGTTTCATTAGGGTTTCATTTAGGGTTTCTTTAGGGTTTCATTTAGGGCTTCATTTAGGGTTTCTTTAGGGTTTCATTTAGGGTTTCAGCTAAGGCGTCAGATGGTGTCAGTTAAGGCTTTGGGATGTCATTTAGGGTGTCATTTAAAGTTTCTTTAGGGTTTCATTTATGGTTTCTTTAGGATTAGTTTATGGTTTCTTTAGGGTTCATTTATGGTTTCTTTAGGGTTCATCCAGGGCTTCATGTAGGGTTTTTTTAAATCAAGATTTCTTTAGGGTTTCTTTGGGTTCACCTAGGGTCTCTCTAAGGTTTCATTTAGTAAACAAACAGAACAGAATAAAGCAAACGAAAATGAAAAACAAAGAGACAGTAAAGACAGGAAGCGAAGAAGCAAAGGAGCAGGAAGCGGAGCAGCAAAAACACATGACTGAAGAAAAGAAAAAGTAGAATAGTAGAAGTAGAAAGGCACAGAAGTACAAAAGCAGAGAAGCAGGGAAAACAGAGAAGCAGAAAAGCAAAGAAGCAGGAAAAGCAAAAAGCAGAGAAGCAGGAAAAGCAGAGAAGCAGAAAAGCAGAGAAGCAGAAAAGCAGAAAATCAGAGAAACAGAAAAGCATAGAACCAGGAACCGGAAAAAAAAAAAACCTGCCGCGAAGAAAAAATAGCCCTCCTTGGTCTTCTCCTGGGCACTTACACCCAACTGATTCGACTCATTTGCACCACCCATTCACTTACACCGCAGGCACTCACTTACAACCAACAAATTCGAATCACTTACTCCAGCACTCCTTTTCTAGAGGATGCGACAATTTATGTTCAGTGTCACCGCTAGGATTTCTTCGCTGTCTGGATAGCTATTCCAACCGCAAAGAAATAAAATGAAATAAGGAACTTTAAAGAACCCTTTCTGAAGCGAGCCCTACACTAAAATATTCTAATATAACACTAGCTGAACCGCCGCCCTATATAAACTTTAGATAAACCTTTAAAGCAAGCCCAAGTTTCACGATAGAACCGCGAAGCGTCAAAATTTGCAGAAGATTGAAAACTGGCTGGCAACCTTCGCCTCCGACACTTCAAACCAATGCCCTCTCATATGGTTTGAAGTGTGGCGTCCAAGGCCGCAAGTGTGCCCATGCTTTCTGTCAACTCCGAGGCACAAAATTGGCACTCCATCCTCTTCAGCTGCAGAGCCAAGCAGCGGAAACAATGGCACTGAAATGCCGTTCCATGTGGCGACGGCTGATTGCCAAGTATCCTTCGCACCTCTTTCCATTCCATAGCCCTGGGCCAGCCACTCACACGTATCCTGCAACATTTTCTGGGCCTCTGGGCTCACTCGTATTCCAATGCTACAAATGTGTTATATATATATAATTTTCCCCTTGAATGGCCATAAATTACACCAGTTCTGGACAAATGAAACACCCAGTTGGTTCAGTCTGGGACGCCCCGTGAGAGTTGTGGAGGCATAAACTTGACCATTTCTGTTGATTTGGGAGTTGCTACAAAAACTCAGAATGTCAATGAACTTTATAGGACTTGTAGATGTCATCTTCCAATTAAATCATTTGATGTAGAAACTTTTGCAGAAAGGAGCAGCTACAAGAACTCCTCAAACAAA